ACAGTTCGCCAACCAGTTTGCAGTGATGCTGACCTACAAGATCGACGACGACTCAGACGAACTACCAACACCACGCGCCATGACTACACAGCGGCGGAGTATGCTCATGTCAATCACAGCCCGACCTCCATGCCAACGCCGTTTCCTTTCACGCGCTTCCAGAGCATAACCACGGCATCAGCCATGCAAACGATAACCGAGTTGATCCACGCGGAGGGCCAGCAACCCAATGACCCAGCGAACGACGGCAACAGAGCAACCAATCACAGCCAAGCCACAGGCGCAATACAACCTTGCCCACCCCAACTCCGACTCAGCAACCGACTGCCAAGCTGACGCGCCGACCGCGCAGCAACTGATTGACCCACCTGACAGGCGCAACCGACTGACCTGACCCACCCGACGCGGAAAGAGGAACATAACCATATCGAAAAGCTCCCAAGCCAAAAAAGGTGGGCACCCTCGGCAGACCTCGCGGCGCGGCAGCAACAGCTTCGCACCCAACAAGCAACGCCTAACGCAGCAGCCGAGACCAGCGCGCTACAGAGCACGGACCCACCGACAGCGGCACAATGGGCGATGATCGGTGGGAGAGAACGACCTGGGTCCAGCCACGTTCCCAAGCGACAACCAGCAGCCAAACCCCGACGCGATTCAAGCAGACGGTGGTCCAGCGCCTTGGCCACCGTCGAGGTTGAATGCAAGCAGCACCTTAAGAACCAGCAGTCCGACCAAGCCACGGCAAATCAGGAGATTCCCCCCTGATTGCCCACAACCAAGAGGCGCATGCCTCTCGATGGGACCGGCCTTACTACCTCCTCACCTAGCATGCACGGGTTTGTTCAATTTTGCTCCACGACAAAAAGGAGACGTCACGCAAGCTGCTACATTCCGATTGCCAACCTCAGCACTAGTCTTGCACCAAAGCGCACGCACACATTGACAGGATCGGCAGCCGCACAGCTGGTCGCACCATACTTAGATTCACCTCCCCGACGGCAGCGGACAAGGGACTCCCGCGGGTCTCAGCGCACGGCGAGGACGGCAACAACAGGTATGCTACGCAATGGGTCCCTGAGGGGCATTCTCACCCACGAGCAATGCTACCTCATCCGAGGTGTCCGCCGAAATCAGGCTTCAGCATGCGTTCGACGACGTCAACAGCATCTATGCTACTCAGTGGGTCCCTGCGGGGCATTCTCACCCATGAGCTATGATATTGCACTCGACGTGCAGGTAGAGACAAGGCCTCCACCAACCTCCAAACTTCCTTACCGTCTGGCTTTCTTCTTGCAGCCCACATCCCCCCGCCTCAATTTGCTAACCTGAGTGCGCCCCCCTCATGTGGCGGTGGGATGGGGCGGTTGAGATCGCGGGTTGGCGATCAAGGGATTTCGCCAAAGGCCCATGCGGCAAGGGCCAGCGAGGCCGTGGTCAATTCTACCGCCAACAAGCCACAGGCCCGCTGCACGCACACCCTAGCATTCAGCCAGCATCCCACCTCCACGACCTCACCTCCTCACGTGCCGCCTCAAGAGTACTCGCAAAAGCAGCAGTGACCATCGGTCGCCTGCCACAGCTAACGGTGGGGGGTGGGGTTGTTTTTTAACAGAGGGTGGGGGACTACAAACGTACAACGAGCCGCCGCCACGGATGGCATAAGCCGCCCCGCACACGGTGGACCCCCCCCAAGCGGCCACCATTCCCATAACCTGGGCACCCTGCTCCTGCCTCGGCAGGGGAGAGTGCCAGTCATGGGGATGGTGGCCGCTGCCTCTGTCCGCGGGTGCGATGGCTGGGTCGGCTGCGGCCGAATGGCAGCGAGCCGTCCGATCTCGGCGTCAGGCGCCACCCGCACCTTCCCACCTTCCCTCTTACACCGATCTTCCCCGCCCTTCCCAGCAGCTGCGGCCCAAGGCCACCTGCCGGCAGCCGCGCTCGCCCGCGGCTGTTGGACGTCTGGGAGTGTTGTGCTTGGCGCCGGATGGGGGGGGCTACAAACCTACACTCTAGGCGATGCTTAAGAAATCCAGAGTTTTCGGCCAGAGTCTTGATGTTTCTTATTGTTTCAATGTAAATCCGAAGATTTGAATAGACATTTTTGGTTTTTATTCAAATTCTGAGATTATGAATGTCTTAACCAATGATTTCTAAAGCATTTCGCAGGGTGTACAGTGAACCGCCGCCACGGATGGCAAAAACCACCCCCACGCACGGTAGACCCCCCCCGAGCGGCCACCATTCCCGTGATCAGGGGGGGGGTACCAGCCATGGGTATGGGTGCCGCTTAGGAGGGGGTCCCACGTGCTGGGGGCGAGGCCTTTTTGCTGTTCACCTTTGGCGAGCGTGGCCGCTGCCACTCTCTGCAAGGGCGATGGTGCCCAACACACTCTAGCCGCGAGTTTTTTCGCCTCGCCCCATCTCGCCCCCACACTTTTACGCTTGCCGCATGGTTTTTTGGGGGGAGCTGGAGGCCCCTGCCCAATAGGGCACCTCTGCGGAGGGGGGCCCTGAGCACCATCCAGAGCAGTGGCCCAAGAGGGCCAGTTGACTCGACGGAAGGGGGACCCGGCACAGCCAAGGGACACGTTGCCCCCAGGGCCCACCCACTGCCTCTTTCGCCGCCGCCGCCACACAGCCGCCACGTCACCTTTCATCCTTTTCTTCCTTCCTCTGGAGACTATGACGGATGGATGCCCTGCCTGTCCTTGGCATCGCTCGGACGTGTGCATTTTTCTTTCGGCGAGGGCCATCGAGGAACATCCTTGACCACTTGGCGAAAAAATTACGCACGAAACCGAAAAAACACACAACTAATGAGCGTCCGAGCGATGGCGAGTGTCACGCTGCCGGATGGCTACAGCCCACGGCAGCAATCAGCCATTCGAAGCTACAATTGACTTGTGGGGGCGATGTTCCGGACACGCGAGACTTCACATTGAGTTCTCAGGGCGCCCTGGGTCTCAAGGCGACAGGGACTGCTTGTGACGCTCCTTTTGATGTCGACTTCCGCCCTCCATTGCCGTCGCTGCTGCCGCCGTTCTCTTTGCGGACACAGTCGCCCTATACTTCGGGGAGCGGAGATGTTCACCCTACTTGTTTGTACCGTTTGGAGTGCATGTCCGATGCACGTGTGAGTCGGACAAGAAACCAAAGTACGGCGGATCTAGAGTCAGGGAGGGATACCACGCGCGCAAGGGGCGCCGGGGGGGCAGGCGCGGAGGCGTTCCAACGGCCAGATTTTTGTTCTCGCGGGGCTCGAAGTTGGAGGTCTTCGGGCGTGTCTCGTCGGCTCCTGCTGGATCTCCAGCCGCGGACTGCTTTTCAGCGGCTGCGCCTCGCCGAGGGCGTTCAGTCAAGGGCGTAAAAAACGCCCCTACCCTGTTTTACGAGGCACTGTGCGCTGAACCTTTCGTGGGCTGGCAGGGTAAAGCCCTGCATATCGCGCGTGTCGCGCGGCGTCCTGGCGGCGCTCTGACCTTTGGCAGCTCCCAGGAGGTTTGCGGACCACGCACTTTGTAACCCTCAATTCGGGGGGGGCCGCCCTCCGAATTGAGTAGGGGCGTTTTTGCATCCCCCGAATTGGGTAGGCACCCCCCGAATCGGGTAGGCATCCCCCGAAGGTCCTGGCGGCACCCCCCGAATTGGGTGGGGGCGTTCTTGCATCCCTCCATTCGGGAGGTGCCCAGGTCGCCCCGAACGGCCGCCCGAGGCCCGAGCTTGATGGCCCGAGGGCGCTCATGGGGGGTGCCCAGGTCGTGCCGAGCGGCCGCCCGCCGGGGGCCCGAGTCTGATGGCCCGGGAGCCCTCGGGGGCCCGAGCTTGATGGCCCGGGGGCCCGAGCTTCATGGCCCGAGGGGCGCTCTCAGGGGGCGCCCAGGTCGCCCCGAGCGGCCGCCTGGGACCCGAGCTTGGCCCGAGGGCGCTCATGGGGGGTGCCCAGGTCGTGCCGAGCGGCCGCCCAGGGTTAGAACTCGGCCCGGAAAGCCGTCGGGGGCCCTGATCGCCGACGGTTCGATGCTTCAGTGTGGGCGTACTTCCTCGAGTTCGGCCTATGGTTGTGGCAGTCGATTGCTGGAGAGGAAGCATGCTGCCAAATAATTTCCAGATGTCTGAAACATTGTTCAAATATGTAAACGTTTTTTGTTTATATATATATATATATATATATATAATATATATATATATATTATTATATATATATATACATATATATAAGATAAAAAATAAAAATGATACATGTTTAGAGCATGTTTTACACATTTTAAACACATGCTTAATTAACTGATCGGATCGTTATGGTGTCCATTGTCATGGCATCCGCACGCCTATGGGGCCCGTGGTCGGTCCCTGGGACCATCAAGCACAGATCGGGGACGGAAAACGACCCCAGGGGAAGGGGTCGGGACCTCTGGGGCCGCGCATCGGAACTCAAGTCGTCGGATGTCTGGGTCTTCGGGGGTTGCCAGCAGTGGCCCAGGCCCATGGGTGCCCCCTAGCTCTTCGCCCCCTTTTGGGGCCCACTGGGGCCCGCCCCGAGATCCGACGCTGCAAAACACAATTGCAACATCGCTAGAAATCATGACTGGGGCCCCGGACCCCATCTTTCTGCGGCATCGTTCGGGCCGGTTCGATCTGCGATGCCCCCCCCCCCCCTTGGCTCGCTTCCGATTTGGAAGTGTGTCGGAAGTGCGCCCCAGTCGATGCGAACCAGTGAGGCGGCAATTTCCGCCTCAGAGAGGTCAGTCGGACACGTCCGCAAAAAATCCTGGCGTAAGCAGCGACGGCAGAGAGGGGCGGACATCGCCATCAGGGGAACTTGCACAGCATGGCGGAACTTCTCGCCCGACTTGCGACATCGCCCAGAGTGCGGCGGATCCGGAGACAGGGCCGACATCGGGGGAAGGCGCCTTGTGTGAAGGAGGAGAAGTAGGAGGACGAGGAGGAGGAGGAGGAGGAGGAGGAGGAGGAGGAGGAGGAGGAGGAGGTCCCCCGGCGAGGAGCCCGAGGAGGCCGCCCCCGGGGTGCTGCCCGGCCTGGCCAACCTGGGCAACACCTGCTTCATGAACGCCGCGCTGCGCTTAATGCTGCCCCGTTGCGCACGAGCTGGAGCGCAGCACGTCCCGTGTGCAACACGTCTCACGCGCGTGTTGTCCGACGCTTTGGCGGTCCTCGTCGCGCCAGGTTTACCGCTTGCAATGGACGTGTTGGGCTCCGTGTCGACATGCTACGGGTTGCGTGCTCAGAGATCCGACGTCTTGATGTTTTCAACACGGGGTCTCCGGAAGTCCCGACCCTTTCCCCAGGGTTTTTTGTCGTTCCGAGCCAGTTATTGACAGTCCCAGGGCTTGGCGAGGGCCTTGGGAAGCAAAAGATGGCCAGGAACCTCTTGGATTTTGGTTCACGACGCGAGCATGTCTGCGTGTAGAGCTCCGCGTCAACACGCTAAGGGTTGCGTGCTGAGTATCAGAGCAGCTCTACGGTCAGGAATTTTGGCTTAGCGTGTCGCGGCTAGTTCTGGCCCACCGCGCTTCGGCGCGACTCGCTACCCACCTCCCCATTCCTAAGCGTCAGCGTCCCGAGCCGTCCCCAGACTCCCGTCCCCGCGGAGCGGAACGACGCGCTATCCGCTTGCAGGGCAGAGCGTGTCGCCGGGGCCGCCGCCGCGACACGCTACGCAAAAGTTCCCGACCGTGCGTGTTGAGCTCCGTGTCGACACTCTGCGGGCTGCGTGCTGCGCATCGTAGGGCGACGAGATCTGTACATATGCGCCGCCCCGGGCCTGGCCTGGCCCACGAGCTGTGTATACGCCCCCTTGGCATGGCCAGGGAGGCATACGCACCGCCCGTGTGCCCAGGATAGGCCAAGCCTGGGGCAGCGGACGTGTATGGATCTCGTCGCCCTACGATGCGCAGCGCGCAGCCCGCAGAGTGTCGACACGGAGCTCAACACGTACGGTCGGGAACTTTTGCGTAGCGTGTCGCGGCGGCGGCCCCGGCGACACGCTCTGCCTGCAAGCGGATAGCGCGTCGTTCCGCCGCGGGGACGGTGACGGGCAGCTGGCTGAGGTGCTGCAGTGCTTGCTGAACACGCCGGGCTGGCTCGCGGAGGCCTGCCGCGCATTCGACCGCCCAGGCGGCGAGGGCGGCCAGCAGTCGAGCAAGGCGCCGCGGCCTGCGGCGGCGGCGCCTCGGCGGCTCCTCGGCAGCAGCGGCGCCCAGAATCTTCGACGATATTCGTTTTATCCCGGCGTTTCCCGTCTATTTCGGCCGCCGGGACTCGAAGTTCGACGATTTTTGTTTTATCCCGGCGTTTCCCGTCGATTTCGGCCGCCGGGTCTCGAAGTTCAGTTTTTCTAGCGTTTTCGTAGGTTCCTGATGGTGTTCCAGCCGCGGGCTGCTTTTCAGCGGCTGCGCCTCGCCGAGGGCGCTCTGGGGGTGCCCAGATCGTCCCGAACGGCCGCCCGAGGCCCAAGTGATGGCCCGAAAACCATCGGGGACCCTGATCTCCGACGATGTTTTGGGGGGCTTTTCTATCCTGGCGTTTCCCGCCGATTTTCGGCCTCCGGGGCCCGTCATCGGGCCCCGGGATCATCAAAAGTGAACTTGGAGCCCAAGGCCACCCCAGGCGAAGGGGTCGGAACACATCGGAGGATGCCTGGGGTCGTCATCGTGGCCGTCGTCGTTGTAGTGGTCGCCGTGGTGGTCGCCGCTAGTCGTCGGAGTCGTCGTGGTTGTCGTCGGAGTAGGAGGAGGAGGGCCAGAGTAAACCCAAGATTGGAAGGAACCGCCCTCCATCCTTGCAACCGATGCAAGTTTTCAAGACGAATGTGCGCGGCTCCGAGGCGTGGGACGTCCCATGGCACGTTCCCTGCCCCCTGGAGCGTCCCCTGACACGGCCCTTGGCACGTTTCGTAGCGCGACCCTGACACGTCCATGGCACGTCGGAGGCGTACCCTGGCACGGAAGCGCGAGCTAAACATTCATATCATTTCGGTCACGATTCGGACGCCCAGGGCGGCCATACTCACAACGCAATAGAGCACAGCACAGTTCAACATGATATGAAGCAGCACAGCGCGGCGCAGCGCATCGCAGCACAGCCCCCGGCACGGCATCATCACCATGGATGCCCTCGGCACCGCCGCCGCGCGTTGCCCGAGTGTTGCCTGCTCTTCTATATGTCCCTTTCGGGGTCCGTTGGTCGATCCTGCCTTGTCTGGACCCGTGCGCTCCTTGCGCGCCTGCTCGGGGAGAGCGCGCGCCTCCCCGCGTCGGCTCCTCGAGGAATGGTCCAGGGACTTCCGCTCGTGCAAGAAGTGTGGTGCAGAGTCTCCGACGGGGGAAGCGTTCTGGGGCCTCTCCCAGGGGAGGGCGATGGGGCGCCGTGGGTGGCCGGGGGAGAGACTTGCAGAGCAGGGTGGCGCGTCGTCTCGCTCGTTCCCTATAGCATGTCCTCTGGCAAGTCCCCTGTCTGGTTCCCTGGCGCGTTTCCTAGTTCGTGCCTTGCCGCGACCGCTGGCATGTTACCTGGCTCGTCCTCTGGGGCCTCTCTCGGCACGCATTTTGACGCACCCCATCGCACGTCCCCTGGCGCGTCGCGCAATACGTCCTGCGTCGCGTCCCATGTCCAGTCCATTGGCACGTTCCATGGCGCGTCCCCGTACACGTCCCTGGACGCGTCCCCTGGCGCGTCCACTGGCGCGCCCACTGGAGCGTCCCTGGCACTTCGCCCAGCACGCCCCCTGATGTATTTCCCTGGCTCGTCCTCTGGCGTATCCACTGGCACTTCGCCCAGCACGTCCCCTGGAGTGTCTCCTGGCGCGTCCCCTGACACGCTCCGTGGCGCATCCCACGGCATGTTCCTTGGCACGTTTCCTGGCGTTCTCAGGCGTTCTCCTCGGCGCGTCCCTTGCTGCGTCCGCTGCCACGTCCTCCGTCACGTCTTCGCGCGCGTCCCGTGGCACGTCCCCTGGCGTGTCCCCTGGCACGTCCCCTGGCGTGTCCCCGGCACGTCCACTGTCGCGTCCCCCACACGTTCCGTGGCGCGCATCCCCTGGCGCATCCCTTGGCCCGCCCCCCGGTGTTTCCACTGGCGCGTCCCTTGGAGCGTCCCGTGGGGCGTCCCTTGCCATGTTCCTTCGCTCGTCCCTTGGCGCGTCCCCTAGCGCGCCATTTGGCGCGCCTTGTGGGGCGTCCCATGGCATGTTGCATGGCTCGTCCCCTGGCGCGTCCTCTGGCGTGCCCCTTGGCTTGTCCCGTGGCGCGTCCCTGACACATCCAGGGCACGTCCCCTGAAACGTCCCTTGACACGTCCCTGGCCAGGCACGTTCCCTGGCGCATCCCCTTGCGCGCCCCTGGTGGAGCGTCCATTTTCCCTCTTTCGGCTCGTCTTGTGCGCGAGCGTAATGTGACCTTGAGCTCGAGTTGCTTGAGCGCCCCACACGTTTCGATTGCAACCAGCTCTGGGCGAGCCATGCGTTCAGGCAGCTCGAGTCAAATGTCCAGATAAGTTCGGTCAGGATTCGGACGCCCAGGACGACTTCATTCATACCGCGATCGGATACAGCGTAGTTCAGCGCAGCACGGCACAGTGCAGCACAGCGCAGCAGAGCCCTTGTCACGATATCCTCACCATCGATATGTTCGGCAGCATGACCATTGCGTATCGCCCAAGCTAGCTGTGTTGAAGCGTTTCCATGCTTCGCGCTTCTATATCCATTTCTGGGCTCGCGGGTCGATCATGTGTTGTTCACGACGCGAGGGGTTCTGGCTCCCCCTCATCCTCCTCCCCTCCTCCTCCTCGCCTCTCCTCCCTCTCCTCCCTCTCCCACCTCCCTTCCTCCCTTCCTCCCTTCCTCCTTCTCCGTTCCTCCCTCCTCATCCTCCCTGCCCATGCCCCATCCCCCCCCCCCCGGGGGTTCGCCAGGCGCTATTAGGCCGCTGCTTCGCGCAGCTGGCGGCGGAGTACAACTCGACCCAGGGCCGCCCTCTCGCGGGCCGGAACGCGGCCCTGAGGAACATGAAGGCGGCACCCTCCAGACCTGTCAAAATCAGGCGTTCCTTTGAGGATCGAAGGATCGGGGGGCTTTTCCTTTGAGGATCGAAGGATCGAAGGGCTTTTCCTCTTGAGGATCGAATGATCGAAGGATCCAAGGGCTTTTCCTTTTGAGGACCGAAGGAGTTGCGGTCTCTTCCTTGGCCGGCGGAGGCCGGCGGGAGCAAGCGTCGGCCTTCCAGGTGGTGGTAGGGCTTTCTCCCCTGAGCAATGCCTGCCTTTGGGGCTTCTTGCCTGTGTTCTGGGGTAGGGTTTTCTCCCCTAAGCAATGCTTGCATTTAGGGCTTCTTGCCTGTGTTCTGGGGCACTGGGGGGCTGTCGGTATGCCGGCTCCGTGGTCGCCGTCGACGCTCCGTCGCCGCCTCGTCCGCGCCCGTCGTCTGGGCGGGATTGTCGGTTTGGCGGTTCCGTGCTCGCCGTCGCCACCCCGTCGTCGCCGTCGCCGCCTCGCCTCGCAGCAAAAAGAAGTATGATCTACCCCCCCTGGTCTTATCGATCGCTTCCCATTGGGATTGCACAGATTACAGATGTTTCTGCCCCATCGCTCATTCGAAATATGAGTCTATACCATCCCTGCCCAGGCGGTTCCCACACACACACACACACCCTTCATCCCCGACAAACAATTCTATTCGCGCACACTCGTTACATCACAAATCACCCATTCCCACAATCCATTTCTAAAGTATTATGTTGCGGTTGTGTGTGCTTCTGGGTGCCCTTGCATGTATGCGTTTTCCGGCTCATGCGCTGGCCCATCTGATGCTCGGTCGTTGAGGATGTTCATTGAGTTATTATTTGACGTCCGAGTTTTGAGCTGAGCTGTATGGATTTGCCAGCAAACTTAGTTCCTGCATTCTCCGGTGTACAGTCGACATGGCGTCTCTTGCGCCTGAGATCTGCTCTTGCAGGAAGAATTCAGAGTCCTTCCATCGTGCGAGAA